TGCTGCATCCCAAAGGTTTTGCACATTTGTGTTCATTTTCATTTGTTTCCATGTAATTTTTTATTTCTTCTTTTATTTCCTGGTTGACCTATTCATTGTTTAGTAGCATATTATTCAAACCCCATGTATTTGTGGTCTTTCCAGATATTTTCTTGAGGTTGACTTCTAGTTTCACAGCAATGTGGTCAGAAAAGATACATGGTGTGACTTTGATCTTCTTGGACTTGCAGAGGCTTGTTTTGTGAGCTAATATGTGATCTATTCTAGAGAATGTTCCATGTGTACTTGAAAAGAAATGTATTCTGTTTTAGGATGAAATGTTCTTAATATATCTGTGAAATTCATGTGTTCCAGTGTGTCATTCAAAGCCATTGTTTCTTTGCTGATTTTCTGTTTATATTATCTGTCCATTGATGTAAGTGGGGTGTTAAAGTCCCCTATGATATTGTATTATTATCGATTAGTTCCTTTATGTTTGTTATTAACTGTTTTATATATTTGAGTGGTCCCATGTTGGGTCATAAATATTTATAATTGTGATATAACAATTCTTACTGGATTGTCCCCTTTATTATTATATAGAGTCCTTCTTTGTTCCTTGTTACTATCTTTGTTTTAAAGTCTATTTTGTCTGATGTAAGTATTGCTACTCTGGCTTTCTTTTTTTTTAAAGATTTTATTTATTTATTTGACAGAGAGAGACACAGCGAGAGAGGGAACACAAGCAGGGGGAGTAGGAGAGGGGGGAAGCAGGCTTCCCGCAGAGCAGGAAGCCAGATGCAGGGCTCGATTCCAGGACCCTGGGATCATGACCTGCGCCAAAGGCAGACGCTTAACGACTGAGCCACCCAGGTGCCCCATAAACCTTCTATTTTAAAATAGTTTTCAATTTACAGAAAAGTTGCAAAATAACAGAGTTTCTGTATACCCAGCACCCACTTTCCCCTTTTGTTAGTATCTTACATTACTATGGCACATTTGTCACAGCTAATGAACCAATACTGATATATTAGTATTAACTAAACTCCATACTCTGTCCATATTTCCTTAGTTTTTCTCCAATGTCCTTTTTCTGTTCAAGTATCCCATCTAGGATACCATATTACATTTAGTCATGTCTCCTTAGGCTTTCCTTGGCTGTGATGGTTTTTTTTTTTT